ACATAAGTTACTAAAATTGCATAAAATTGTATAACAGATATAATATTCAAATGTACAATATCAACTGATAAAATAAGGACATGAAAATATTGTGTGAAATACCTATTAGTTATTATCAGATTTATCAGGACATATCATATGTGTCTTGTTCTATATTTGTCATCTCTAACCTGGAGGTCAAGGCTAACAATTCAACAGTTGTAAATGCAATAATACTTATGACCGATTGTCCAATGGACAATAATATATAGAATGCACATCTGAATGCTGACATATATATAACTATAAATTTCCCACCTTCATACAGTTCCCAGAAAAATTCATTCTATATTTATATATGAGCAAAGGATTTTAAATCTGTTTCTTTTAACATGTTTAAAGGGGCATTAGCTGTCAAATTTATGTTCACTGATTTGACTCAAATTCTCACATTTGATTAATAACATACTAAAACGTATATCCAAATTACAATAAACTGCTTCGCCGAGAGCAGCTGGATACGACCGCAGAGGTCCAACCTTGAACAGTTGGGGCAAAAATGGACACAATATTCAGGCTTGATACAGGTCTGAATTTGGATTGTAATTAAATATTTGACACATTATAGGTTTCTGACCCAGAATAAATGTAATCAAAGAACTGGAAATTGATTACATGATTTGAATTAATATTCAATTGAGATTTCTTGCTGTTGTGCAATACACTTTGCTGTTGCGCAATACTTAGTAAATCTGTTTTCAGACTATATACAAAGAATTAGCAAAATAAATTATGAGCCCCAATTTTTCTTTGGAAAATTGACAATTTCTTAAATCTTGAGGGAAAAAAAATTGCCCCCCCCCCCCCCTCCTTTCCATAAAAAATAATATTTGAAGAAAATACTTGAAGAAATTTTCTTTTTGTAAAATGTGGTACAATTTAAGAGACATTCATACACTTATACACAAGTTATTGTCTGAAAACTAGAAAAATGCTTGTTTTAGACCCTTTTTGGCCCCTTATTCCTGAACGTGAACCTTGTAGTACAATTTCAGAGCAATCAAAATACTTATACACAAGTTATTGTCCTGAAACTAGAAAAATGCTTGTTTTGGACCCCTTTTTGGCCTCTTAATTCCTAAACGATCGGGACCATCACCCCCAAAAACAATCCCAACTTTCCTTTTGTGTTATTGAACCTTTTGCTTAAATTTCATAGAGATCCATACACTTAAACTAAAGTTATTGTCCGGAAAGCAAATGTCTTCGGACAACGATGACGACATGATAGCAATATACGACAAAAAGTTTAAAATAAACAATTAACAATGCATAAACTCGATAATATTTCGTATGTATGTTTGTCTAGACTCTAGACGTCATCTAATTAACCATCTAGATGACCTCTAAAGACTGCCGACGGTCATTTAACCTGATATAAACATAAACATAAATAGTTAGTGACCATGTGCAATTGGATTTTTCTAGGTCTGTTTGATTTCATATTGTAGGTTAAAAAGTATGTTTATCATCGTTTTTACCTGTATAAGAATAATTTTTTGTGGATCGAATCAGTCAATCAAATGGTTCATCCTTGTTTCACTTTCAATGTTGACATTCTTTTCCTTTTAATAGCAGAATATATGTGTAACACATCTCCAGTGAAGGGGTTAAATTGAAGGTCACATGAATACAAATTCAATGAGGTCTAATTATTCACTTGCAAGTGAATAATTCAGCAACAATGTTTCTCATCCTATTTTGACAAAACTGAACCAAACTGACTGCTAGGAGCGAATGGTTATTTCACTTTCATTAATGATCGAACAAAAAACAAGAGGCTGTCAGAGTGACAGCAAACCAGATTTTCCTGCAGAGGTCGAACCCTGAACAGTTGAGTAAGTATGGACACTACATTTCAGCTTAAAACAGCTCTGAATTTGGATTGTGATTGAATATTTGACACAGCATAGGTTTGTGACACAAAATGAATGTGGTCAAAGAATTGAAATATTTGAAATTGGACCTTTACCTATTATGGTCCAATATCCAAAATCTAAGTACATATTAGAATCAGCATATCAAAGAAACCCAAGAATTCAATTTTTGATGAAGTTAGACAAAAGTTTAATTTAGGACCCTTTGGACCTCAATGTGGACCAATTTGATAAAGGAGCCCACAATCCAAAATCTCTCAATACATGGTTAGATTCAGCATTTCAAAGAACCCCATAAATTCAATTTTTGTTGAATCAAACAAAGTTTAATTTTGAACCCTGGTTTGGACCAACTTGAAAACTGGGCCCAAAAATCTAATATTTAAATACAGGTTTAGATTCAGCATTTGAAAGAACCCTATATATATTTAATTTATGTTGAAATGAAACACAGGTTAATTTTATCCATAATATTTTCTGTGCAAAGGGAAATAACTCAAACTGGATAAAATTTTTCTAAAATAAGATATGATGCAATTTTTCAAATTATAATCATTATAATAATATAACAACAACAACCAGTGATGACTAAGTTCTCTAAAATTAGATATGATTTAATACCCAAACATTGTTAGAATCAGCATATCAAAGAACCATAGAATTAAATTTTTGATGAAATTAAATAAAAGTTTAATTTAGGACCCTTTGGACCTCAATGTGGTATTATCTTATTAATAATGAAAAGAAATACAGGTTTAGATTAAGCATTTCAAAGAACCCTATATTCATTCAATTTATGTTGAAATCAAACACAGTTTAATTTTAGACCCCGATTAGGACCAACTTGAAAACTGGGCCCAAAATCAGAAATCTAAATATATGTTTATTAATAAACAATATAAGCTTAGTTTTTAAAGGAGTTCACTTCATCAAAAAAATATATAGCATTCAGAAAATTAGTTTTTACAGAATAACAAACAAACTTGCCACAAAATTCTGCAAACAATTTACCAAAGAAAAGAAGAAAAAAATCAAAAATCTTATTTATCATTAATACAATGTCTTTTCAAAATCTAAAAAAACTTATCAGTAACAAGAAATAGTTGTAACAGGATGCTGTTAGGAAGTCTCAAAAACAAAGCTCCAATAATTTGTCATTCCCATGGTCGCCTGACATTGGGCAAAGTCCAGTACAAATTGGTTTGTGATATGCCTAAGTGACGCCTATGGATTGACCCTGTATGCCATTAAAATCTTCTTGAAATGACGAACAGGAATATATATGGTTGTTTAGTGGTGGAGATCGCAACCGTTTAAAAGTTCTCAAAAGGGGGGTGTGATCCCCAAGGGACTCGCCCTTTATTTCATATGATTTGTTTTTTTTGTCCCATACAAGAATATATATGGTTTAGGGGTGGGGATCTTGACCGTTTACAAGATAAAAGCACATTCTCAAATTGAAGGGGATGGGGGTTAGAATATATATGGTGGTTTAGGGAGACTTAATTATCTACAAAATGTCTAATATACAGTAAATTTCAAACTTCATTTATACAGTCCTTCTAGTAAATTTCATACTTTATATATACAGTCGTTTAGTGGTGGAGATCTCAACTGTTTACAAGTTCTCAAAAGGGGGGAGTGATCCCCAGGGGACCTGCCCTTTATTTCATATGATTTGTTTTTTTGTCCCATACAAGAATATATATGGTTTAGGGGTGGGGATCTCGACCGTTTACAAGTTCTTAAACAGGAAGGGGTGAGGGTGACCCCAGGGGACTCGCCTTTTATTTCATTTGATTTGTTTTATTGTCCCATACAAGAATATATATGGTTTCGGGGTGGGGATCTCAACCGTTTACAAGTTTTCAAAAAGAAGGGGGGTGGGGGTTACCTCTGTGGACTTTCCCTTTATTTCATTTGATTTGTTTTATTATCCCATACAAGAATATATATGGTTTTGGGGCGGGGATCTTGACTGTTTACAAGTTATCAAAAAGAAGGGGGGTGGGGGTTACCTCCATGGACTTCCCCTATATTTCAATTGATTTGTTTTATTTTTCCATACAAGAATATATATATGGTTTAGGGATGGGGATCTCGATCGTTTACAAGTTCTTAAACAGGAGGGGGTGGTGGTGAACCCGGGGACTCCCCCAATATTTCATTTGATTTGTTTTATTGTCCCATGCAAGAATATATATGGTTTAGGGGTGGTGATCTTGACCGTTTACCAGATAAAAGCACATTCTCAAATTGAAGTGGGTGGGGGTAAGAATATATATGGTTTAGGGAGACTTAATTATCTACAAAATGTCGAATAATGAACAGTAAATTTCAAACTTCATTTATACAGTCCTTCTAGTAAATTTCAAACTTTATATATACAGTCCTACAGCTCTTATCAGGAAACAGAAAATTTTCAAATAAATCTGTCACTCCAATGATTATCATATGCTAAGATATTTCCCAGATCTAATTAATAATGAAAATCATACTTGCAAATCTGAAGGGTTATTCTTTTGAACAGAACTATGGTTTAACATTACATATATAATAATTAATAATGTAATTAACTTCAAAATGTCTAATAATATTATAGCTTATAATCATCACCACTTAGGAAATAGAAAATTTTCAAATAAATCTGTCACTCCAATTTTAATTTTGAGATAAGACATTTACTATGCTTAGTCATAATATGATAACAAGAGAAAAATATTTAAAAATACCACTTTGGATATTAAAAATGGTGATAACTCAAAAAGGAGAAATACTAAAATCGTGAAAATTGAACTTGACCTTCATTTAGTAACAAGAAACAACATATCTAAATTTGAAAAAAACCATCACAGCGTTTTCATGTTATTGAAGAGACACTGTTTGGCAGCCGCTCGTCTGTCTGTCCACCCGCCCGCCCGCTGTACATCCCCAAATCAATAACCGATATTTCCTTCGAAAAATCATATTCTATTTTTTATTATATCTTATAGCTAATGCCCCTTTTCAGTCATAACTTTTATAAGTCATGAAATGTAAATCTTTACACAATGTGTAAATTAATAATCTGCTTCATTAAATTACCTTGATTCTTTTTTTCTCCCATATCACAGCATTTGTATTAGAGTCTTTAATTTAACATCTGTAATGGAAAATAATAATTTGTACTCATAGAGGAGGGCAGTACTTGAAAATCTTTTTCCATGTTTAGTTTGAAGGCTGCAACTGGACTCTCTTCAACTTTTAGAACAAATATGGTCAGAACTGTTGACCTTTGTCATTACAATACAGTATGTACAAACATAATGGTATAGCTTCCTGTTACTTTAAGGACTTAAATTCAAAAACTGAAATACACTTGTCTCAACTTATCAGCCTTATTGTTTATTTTAATCTCTCCTGATCACTTTAACTATTATGTGTGGAGTTGTATTTCTTGAGGATCCTCTTGTGGTATTTTCTGGAATTTTTATTCATTATCAGGTTTTTTTCTCTAAAAAATGTACACAAGTGGTTTGTTGAAAATACATGTAACTAAAATAAATTTGAGATTATGTAAACAAAAAACTCCTAACAAATCAGAACTTCAATTTGACTGCCACTTATTTTTACTTTACATTAGCAATTAAATTTAAAGTGTTGAAAACTTTTTTTTCGACTATATTGACAAGTTACCATGGTCAAACAGTTGGAAAGCAACATCTTTTACAGAGGACAACTACATGTCACTGTATGACCTTCAATAATGAGCAAAACCCATAGAGTATATAGAGCTGACAGCAATGTATGAGGGTGTGTATGGGGGTTTACAGAATAGAGAATAATGGTCAAAAAGTATAAATAGAGAAAAATGGACCAAAAAAATAAAGAATAGAGAATATTGAGGTGCTAAAATATAAAGAATAGAGAATGATGAGGTGCTAAAATATAAAAAATAAAGAATAATGGGCAAACAGTATAAAGAATAGAGAAAAATGGACTAAAAAATTAAAGAATACAGAAATGAAGAACTTACAAGTAAGAATTATAGTAAATGGTCATTATTGATTTGTCCTTACATTTGTACGAAACACAATATGTCGACTTATGAAAATAACTAAATGAACTGTTAAACATGAAGTCAATTGCTTAACTCACAGGAATTTTGGTCATTGAACCCTCTTTCTTTTCTTTTTTAAAATTTATTTCGGTACTTTTATTGAATTAAAATTTCTAAAAATTTCAAATTGTTTTTAGTTATTTAATGTATTCTTATTCCTATTTATACAATCTTACAATAACAGAAGAATCGTATGAATAGGAGAACACACTAATTAAATGAAATAAGTTAATTGAGATTAGAAGAAATTTTGTTTCTGAAATAATAATTCAAACACTAAGAAAAAAGAAACTAGAGACTCTAAAGAGCCTGTGTTGCTCACCTGCATCTTCAACAATGGCCATTTTCATAACAATCCATGAAGGTTTACAAATTATCAAAAAAGGTGAATCCCAGACTGTCTGTGAATGTTAATTCTAAACTAGAGGCTCTAAAGAGCCTGTGTCGCTCACCTAGGTCTATGTACATAATCAACAAAGGACACTCTCATTGTAGACGAGAATAGAATTCATGACAAAAATCTCTTATATGTTGATCTTGTATTACTGATCGTTTTGTCAGTTTAGTTTCTCTCATCTTCTTTAGTTTTTGCTCAAAACACATAAGAGGGTAAAAAAAATCCTCATTTAAGGGCAATCAGTCCAATAAAGAGTAGCAGTCTACTAACTATATCGGCAAAATTTGACTTGTTTGTAGATCTTGCCTTGCTGATCATTTTTGTTATTTAAAGTTTCTATTTATCTATTATGATTTTTATCATAACAGGAAAAACGAAAAAAAATTGGTAAAAATTGACATAAAAGGGCAATAACTCCAAATCAGGAGTCTTCAGACAATTTCCTCCACATTGTCTTAATTGTAGGGGCGTGTTTTATTGGTCTCTTCTGCACATCTCCAGAATGTCTTCTGGTGAAGAGTCCAAAAAAATGAATCTGGACCTCTTCTGGAGATATTCTACGGAAGATCAATAAAACAAAAATTCAATTTGCCGTCGAATATAGCAGATTTTTGTTATGTTGGATGACATAAATGAAGTTTACGATGATTTTATACAAAATTAAGATCCGTCCGGTAGACATGACTGTAAAAGTGTGCTCTGTTCGTGACATTTTTCTTTGTTCTTTCCTCTAACTCAATTTTGCTAGACAAATCTGGCTTAAACCCCCCATATTTGATTTTTAAGAATAATCTTAAACTGCAAAAAAAATCGTCAATGTTTGTCTCGATTATGATCAAAAAGGACATCTTGTCTATCCAATTTTTTTAAAGTAACCAAACTGGATTATTTTTGTATAAAGCAAAGATATCGGAAAGTTCTCAAAATCATTTTTCTCTGGTGGTCCTTGAAGAAAATCTTCTGATCCTAACTATTATTTCTATTGCAAAATTTCGATGGTCAAAACCTTCGGACCACCACTTTTCAAAAAATGTCATTGTATATGTATCAATATGCAAGTATACAATGTATACCAGACATTTCTCAGACTGTTTTTTTTTCTTTTTTTTTAATAAATCCGTTGGTTGTGTACTGATTGATACTTCAGTCTAGGAGAACAAGATTTATTTCAGTACTAGTTGTTATTAGCTTTGAACAAACTTCCAGTAATTGCAAATACTCTTATTTCGGTGCTTTGTGTCTATTGTCTTAATGTAAGTTTTTTTTTGTGTGTCTCGTACCGATCTTTTGAGTTAATCTAATTGCAATTGATTTGTGCAGGTTGTTCTTATATTGTACTGTTACGCCATTGTCCCAGCTTCGGGAAGGGTTGAGCGCTCACAAACATGTTCTTGTACTGTTATACCACTGTCCCAGGTTAGGGGGCGGGTTGGGCCGGATCCCGCTAACATGTTTAACCCGCCACAATGATTTTGTATGTATGTGCCTGTCCCAAGTCAGGAGCCTGTAATTTAGTAGTTTTCGTTTGTTGCTATGTTACATATTTGTTTTTCGTTCGTTTTTTTGTACATTAATTAGACCGTTAGTTTTCTCGTTTGAATTGTTTTACATTTGTGATTTCGGGGCCTTTTATAGCTGACTATGCGGTATGGGCTTTGCTTATTGTTGAAGGCTGTACGGTGACCTATAGCTGTTAATTGCTATGTCATTTGGTCTCTTGTGGAGGGTTGTCTCATTGGCAATCTTCATTTTTATATCAACCCTGCCATATTCTTTGTGTGCCTGTCCCAAGTCAGGAGCCTATAGTTTAGTGGTTGTCGTTGGTTCATGCCTCGACTCATATTTGATATTTTGTAAATTATTTTGTTATGTATAATTAGGCCGTGAGTTTTTTCGTTTGAATTGTTTCTCACACTTTTCACGTCGGGCCTTTTGTATACGACTTTTAAAACAGTATCGGGTGTTGTCATTGTTGAAGGCCTTAATTACGGTTGCCTATAATTGCTTACATCCACTTCATATTTGAACTCCGGTAGATAGTGCCTCCTTAGCAATCATACATGATACATCTCTTCGTTTTTATATTATATACCTGACTTTTAAACTCGTGTTTTCCTGAACCGAGTCCTGAACATGCATGACATATTTGTCACTGGGCGTTAAAAATTAGCAACAAACAATCAATCGATTTAAACTTGTGTTAAATAAGAAGAAAAAACATTTGATATTTATTCATTTATTGGGGTGGGGGACAGGAGGATTTCATATATGAATATGGTTCCCTGGTAAGAGCTGAAAAATAGGCATAATTAGCGACAGATTAAAAAAGTTAATAATGCCCTCTTCTCTTTCCCATCCTTCATCTATAAATTTAAACTGACCACCACGGAATAGCCCAACTTAGTGTTGAAAGTAGCGTTAAACACCAATCAATCAAAATCCCTTCCCTAGGGCGCTATGAATTGTGGGTAAAATCATCGATGGAAAACCATCTATATCAAATAGTCGTCCCTTAACTGTTGTTGTCCGTGTAGTTAATATATTTATCCAGCTTATCGTCCTACAGGGATGTCCTACTAAGACTGTCATACCATAACAACTTTATAAGAGAGGCCTGATGGGTTATTTTCGTTCTTCGTGATCGGCGCATTTTCGCTATAGTGATCCGTTTTTCTACAGATTTTTTTTTTTTTATATTTTCGTGATCCGTGATCCTGGAAATTTATTTTCTGTGAATCGTGATTGACAAAAAAATCAACTCGTGAATCGTGATGAGACCCCCCCAATCAGGCCCCTCTTATAACACAGCTCACATTCTAATGCACTTCTGCATTCATAAATTTATTAATGTCATTTAGACTAAACGACGCCATATTTGTTATGTGCCTCTGCCGTCTAAACTACCTATCAAAAAAGAAGAGGTGGAAGAGAGCCAGAAGATCTTCCCTATTCAAAAAAATAGAAATGGACCTCTTCTGGTTCACTACCGAAGAACAAAAAAACACGCCCCTGATCTTGTCTTGCTAATCATTTTTGTTCTTTTAGTTTCTATCTTTCTCAGACTGAATCTACTTGTAAACTGTGAAAAAACTATGTCCACTTATCAGTAAAATACAGAAAATTTTGACCTGGATACTGTATTTTGATCATAAACAAGCTTCTGTCCAAATTTCCCAAAATTCCATGAAGGTTTGACAAAGTTATTGATGTCTAAAAGTTGACGCAACCGATGCCGATGATGGAATCTAGGATTGCTATGTCTTGCTTTCGAGACATAAATGTTGCAGGCTCGACAAAAATGGTAAAATTTTTCATTTAAGGGCAATAACGCTGAACATTCTGAACATTTTTGCCCGTCAGATTTTCTCTATTTATAGCGGTTTTCTCAATAATACGCAAAACTTGCATTTTACTCCTACGTTCTATTTTTAGCCATGTCGGCAATCTTGTTTGACAGGCGGGGTCATCAGACACATTTTTTTTAACTAGATACCCTAAAAATGTGGCCAAGTTTATTTGAATTTGGCCAAGAAGCTTTAGAGGAGAAAATTATTGTAAAAGTTAACGTACAAGGATGACAATGACGAACACAGACGACGGATGCCAATTGATGAGAAAAGCTCACTTGGCCTTTTGGTCAGGTGAG